AAAAAACCCAACAACAAACACCTCCAACCCCAGAAACCCATCCCCAAAAAGATGACTCAGGGCTCCCTGGAAAGGTGAAACAGAGACTGAGGGAAGATTAGAAGAGCCAAGTGACTCTCTGGAGGGAAAGCCACCAAAAGAAACTAGAAACAACCGCACAGGAGGAAAACAAGCTCCCTTCCCTCAGCACTTTAGCTACCTCCAGAAAGTAACTCACGTGAAAGCAAATACTTGCAAACGCCATCGCAGAAGCTATTTGTAAAGCATCCCGTAGAAACACTTAGTGTGGTGCTCTGAACCACGTGAATTCAGTGTAATTTAATCTGAGAAAGTAAACGATCTCATTCACCCAAATACTTCACATCGGATGCCGGCATCGCTTTTGCCTTTCAAAGGAGCGTTCACGGCTACAATTTAGCATCGAGTTTCTGGGCTAATGAAAGTGCATCCAGGCTAGTAAAACAGACCAAAACAAATCCTTGAATTCCAGTCCTGTTGTGTAATGAGGAAGTTTAATTAAGGCCACACATTACAGCTGTAAACGTTCTCTTATATAATAAGGTCTAAATGAAACTGAACCTAATCAAAGTTACAATTCCTTCATTAGCAAATTACAAACAAGAGCGCACAGCTGACACACCGGCTATGATTATCACAACTAATTGCCTCGTTGTTACAAACCAGCCTGAAACTGTGTTCAGATGTCCGTCTGCAGCAGCAAATTAGGGCCACATCAGGCTATTTCTGCGATCACAAGGGGCTCTTGTAGAGCGATCTGATTTACCCTGCCGACTGGCAGCACACGGCCCAATCAAAGCCCCCTCTACAAAGGCAGCTTTGAAGCCAGCACAGCCTAGAAACCCGCTCCATATGCAGGCCGGCAGACTGCACTTCATTAGGCCTGTTGTCACATTTTCCCTCTTCTTATTCTAATGATCCTATTTTAATACACATAGGAACCTCTCCTAATTGATTATGTCCCTCTGGAAGACACATTCATCACCGACTTCCACATTCATCACCGGAGCACATCAAACGGGTCTTGGCGCACAGGCCGCCATCAGAGTGCTTAAGACCCGAGGTGTGTCTCCAACTACGGGAAGAAAAAAAAAAAAAAGAAGAAAATTCGGCATTACCTGTTTAATTGGGATTGCGCGACCGCTTCCAATGCTATCCGTTCTGCTCTCCAGGACCTTCTTCTCTTTGTCTGGGTCACTCCCTTTCCGAGACTGTAGAGCAAAAAGAAAGTTTGTGCTCCATTAAATGTAGCCTTGCACACAGAGGATGCTGGGTTTTGGGGTTTGGTTGTTTTTTTTTTTCTAAAGCAATTAAAAAAAAAAGTCTTTTGACATGTAGACTCAAAGGATGCATGTCACAACGTACAAAAAGTACACAACCATTCCAAAATCTGAATGTTAAAATACCACCTCTAATTTTCAACCATCCACTTGTTCGAAATGGCATTTGGATTTAAAGACTTATAGTTTTACTGCCTGAAGATACAGCAGATCAGAGGACACATTACCGATCTCCCATAGTAGCTCCAAAAAGGAACACTGGTTTCAGCTGGTCGTTAAAATAAAAAATCTGACATATACATGCACACATTTAGCTTGCATCTGTGTGCTTTTTAGAAACGTTAGCAGCTACTCAAAACCCACGATTTTATGATGCTGGCTTTTGATCATGTTGACTTTAACTTTTAAATTTTTTCTACTTTTGCATGGATAAAAGTTGGAATTGGAAGAAAAGGTAGTAACTGATACTGAAAAAAGTTAACTGGACACAAAGAAGAAAAATCAGCATGAGGAAAATTTAACCAACGTTTAAAACCTGCATTGCCTGATCTTGACTTTCTATAACGCTACAACAGCCTGTGAGTAGTCTCACAGTGCTCACTCCATGACTTTATAAAGTTATATAGGAATTTTAAGAAGTTATTCAGATTCCAGTCCATTATTGTGAAAGAACGCACAAGCATAATGATTGTGACAGATTTATTTTATTACAAAAAGAAGACCTGAGAGTCATCCTCCGTAATAACTGAACTGACAAGTGACAACTTCACTCCATTACTTTTCAATAGGAACATTACTCACACAATATCGAAAAATGGGAAAACATTTTCATGCGCTTTTCAAATCAGAGATGATATATGAAACGAATACATTTGCGATGTCCAGTACCACAAAGGGAAGTTAATGAAAACCAGAGTGACACAAGATCCCGCTTTTCATTTCCAAGAGGAAGGCGACGTTTGAAAGACACTGAAATCAGGAGAACGATGAGGATCCCGGAAAGCGAACACCCAATTTCCATATTAGAAAAAAACCAATCCCCGAAGCAGTTGCCTTCGGGCGCGAGAGGAGGGAAGGGGAGGGAGCAAACCCACAGAGGAGGACTTCAAGTAAGACCATTCTAAGCAACACATTTACCCAGCAGGGATCCCGTGCTGCTTCCCCCGCTCCGCCGGGAACGGGCTCCTATCACTAGTTACTATGGTTCGGGGCAATGGAATGACGTGCCAGGGAATTAAACAAAGAATAAATGAAAGCAAGCAAAACAAGTGGGAGGGATGAAACCCAGCGTTCGGGATATCTATTGTTCCTCGTCCTTCAAGACAGATTTCTGAATCTGAAAGTGCCACTTCCCAATAATACAAGGCAAAACAATGCCTCAATGGCGCAAAGCGCCTGTAAGTGACATTTTAAAGAAACTCAGTGAAGGTAGCCAAATCCTTGGGAGGGAAGTTGTCAACTTGAATGTTTCTGTTTTATTTGACTTTTTTAAAGGAAGGATCTTGCCTCTGAAAAGCAAGCTGAATATCTAATGTGCTATTTTTTATTTTTATTTTAAAATCATCGCACCTTCTAGTCCACAAAAGTACCTGCATCTGGAAACAAGGCACTGCACACAGAAGGGAACTATCTACATGCAGAATATCGTCAAATGGCAGAAGTATAGAAACACAAGAACTTGTATTAGGCAAATTCTATTCTAGCTGCTTGTAATCACAGAACACGGAATTTTCAAGGGGAGAATCTTAGCAGGCTCTGCTATTTATAAAGACAAACTGTACAGGGAAACAGAGATACATTCTGATCTTTTATGCTTTTGTATCTGGTACACGGACGATGCATCTTACATCCTATAGTGGAAAAAAAAAATAGTCTAAAGCATACTGGATTAACTTTTGCTAGGATTTTTTCTGATGTCACATCTACACATCAACTTGTTCTATTTAAAACTTGGTTCAAGTCATCCAGAAAATGTCAAAAAAAATTTCAACACCTTCATGCATATAATTTGACTCATTTCCCCTTTGCACTGGAAATCACAGGCAGACTTACGCCAACATAAAGCCTTAACCTAAGTTAGGTCTGTGAAATAAGATTTAGTCCCAGAGAGATACAGCACCTGAGTTTGGGCACAACCAGAACCCAGTATCAGCAGTCCAGAGAGCCCGAAAAGCGAGAACCCCCATCTCTAACAGTAGATACTGAGACAGAGAGTTCATTTTAACTTTTAAAAAAGTCTTGTCTGCAAATCTGCAAAGATGTAAGATAAGTCATATCGAATACAGGAAAGGAGATGCATCTTACTGTAGCAGAAGTTCATTCGCCCCATATGGAATTGAACACATAGTTACAACCAGTTCTTTGCTGATGTGGACCTCAAATGCATCTTAAATCCCCACCTGTACAGTACACTATTATTCAGTTGTCCCTGTTAACACACTGCACAAAAAGCATTTACCCCTCTGCTAATATTTGATCTGTTTTATTACCTAAGTAGAAAGTCAGCTATTGTAACAATAGCTTTATAGCAAATATTAATACTGAAAGTCAAAAATATCAGCTACTGCATTTAATGTGCTTAAACATGGACATGCTTAAAATTCTCAACCTTATTCCAATTCAAAAGCTGTAACTGACTTAAGAAAAATCATATGTTTTTTCTACTTAACCCTATTTTCTTCCAACATTGAAAGATCTTCATGTAGGAAATTAAAACATACTACCTGTAACAAGAGGCAATTTGCAATTAAACAGAAATTTATTTGATTCTCTAAGTGATAAATGCATAAGCAAGGAACAGTTTAGGAAAGAAGCACATGAAGAAACTCAGAGCTAAACAGTAAAATATTTTGATTACACACTCTTGTTCATAACAAGTCAGAAAATACTGGCCGCCTATTTATTCAGTTGAATAATTCCAGGCTATAACTTGGTTGATACAGCATGAAACCTGGATTACAGCAGTGTCAGTGTTAAATACTTCATGACATGGATTACAAGGCAACTCACTACACAACATTCAATATTAAAAGAGAAAACTAATTCTGAAGGCCATTTTTTTTTTCTAGAGGATTTGTTTTCCCCCCGTTCCCCCCTCCCCATTATCAGATAATATTAAAGACAACTATCAACATCCCCTCATATTAGTAAATTTGGTTGTCACTATGCTCGTAATTACCACAAACCAGAGCTTTAGTCTATTTATTTATGGCAAAAGCAGCTGACGCTTTCTCAAACCTTTTCTGCAATTGTAGATGGGTCTATTTTTCTCTACTCGTTCTCTCAAGTTTACACTTACTCCAGTTTAAAACATCTCCAGTTTCCCAAATGTCAACAACATCACCTACACAGCCCTTGTAGCATTTACGCATGCTTCAGAGCAGAAAGGGTCGGCAACTGCTTCTGAGGGGCTCTGCAGCCCCAGCTCAGTTTCCAAGAGGTTGTTTCTCTGCCGGCAGTTCCTGGGCTGACACTGACACCTAGTGGGGCTGGGAACTCCAGAGCACACCCAGCAGCAGCGACTACTCGATTGCTGTCAAATGTCAGCATCAAAATTGGATCCTTTTTCACACGCCACTCATTTTTTCCCATTTGACTGTTTTGCGCCTGGGTATTTGCAACTATGCTCAAATGCGTGGTTTTCAGGATCCCATTTTGAAATTGAAATATCACTGTCAGGATGGATGCACGAAATACCATCCCTGGGACTGTGTGCTCTCCCTTGGCACTCCGAAACGATGACAAAACTTTATACTTGCTCAAGGCCAAGAGGTCAGATTTTGTTTAGAGCACAAGCAAATGGCCTTACCATTTTTGCATGCAGTTCCCTGGATAAGACCAAGGAGCGAGCTAGCTTTAGGAATGACATCACCTTTGCAATAAAAAAAAAATAAAAACTCTTTATGATGACAGGGAAGTCGTGGCTTTCTAAACACAACTGATGTGTAGCTACAATCACCAAGAGACTCTCATACGAGCCCACAGGGAGTCTGTGTTTGCTATAAAGCATGTTAAGCATCAAAAAATTGCTTACAAAACCACAATTATGCATGCAATGCAATCCCAAAGCTTTCAGCAAGACTGCTAAACGAAGGAAATCACCACTCAAGGCTTCATGATCATCTCCCAAACTACTTATGCAGAACAAAGACCTATCATACTGCACCAGTTAAGCTTTCTATTTAGTACATCGATTTTTTGCCTCTCGATGAAGCAAAACCCAGATGGTTTTGGGAAGTAAAAAAGTCATGTTCATCTCCAACATTTCACCCTGGAAAAGTGAGTTGAGACTGTATAGTAATAAATGGGGTAGTTACGGTATTCCCATGGTAAACCCTGAGACCTTTCTACAACCACAGGAGACCGCACAAGGGAGCTGTGAGTCAGCAGCACTATTCAGCGTCAGAGCAGGCCTGGGGAGCAGAGGTCCAGCTTTCCCTCCAGTTACTGTCAAACTAGGCAACCTGGACAGGCCTGAGAATTAAAGGCTCTAGAATTCAACTGTGGATCCACTTGTTTCACTGCAATTCCCAACAGGGTTAATGTCACCGTATTTACTTTCTGGTTTAAGTCCACAATCGGAACTGCCCCACAGTAATTCTAAGATGTCTTTGGTTTAGAGTCTACAGCTCCATCTCAACACTCCCGCCTGGATTAGACCAGCTCAACTCATCAAGGCTCAAGTTCAGGCTGCCACCACAGAGCACGACGTAAAACACAGCAACAGGCTCTTCCTTGGCTCACTCACCGTGAAGAGGTTGGATCGGCGCTTGGACTGTTTACGGACAGGAGTTGGTGTGTTGGCAGTGGGAGGAACATCAATCCGTAGCTCCTTCTGGCTGGTGCTTGGAGTTGATGGGACAGAGGAGGAATAATCACTTAAACTCCCTCCTCCATTACTGGTCTGCAAGGATTAAAGTTAGTTTTAAACAGTGATACACTGCTTTCAAGCAATTACAATCCACAGTTGTATCTTACTAAGTCCCGATATGCAAGAAGAGCAGCCCAGGCTCAGGAACACAGTGGGACTGCCCTACTGCCACTTTTCCACACAGTTCTATTCCAAGCCCTTAAATATTTTCCCTGCCATTATTTTTTGAAATCGTAGACAGTTCTGTTGATAAGGCAGGCACATTTTCCTTCTATGCTATATAACCGTACATGGATATAAACAGTTGCATTTGTTTTACTACTATACGAGCCAGCAAAACATTGGGGAAAGTCTATAAATTCTGGTTTTCTACTTCAAAACTGCTACACCAAATTCTACCCCAAACCTAAGAAAAAATACCTAGTGCCGTAGAATTGCCTAGCTGGATGTCTGGAGACATCAGTTCACTGAGATCTAATTACAAAAATAAAAATAATTCGATGTAAAATGGCTACTACAATGACAGCTCCAAACACACTTGCGGAAGCCATTGGTACAGAGATACGAAACTTTAAAGGAAGACATTCTAATTTACTCCAAGTAGACAAAAATGTAAAGTTACATCACAGTCTTGAAATAAATAAAGCAGTAAGCCTAGAAAACAATTAATGAATTGAGGTAACAGCAGGAAGGTGAGGAAACCAGATAGAAGGTAAAGGACTAAAAGGTGATTAAGAACACAGTCCTGATTATTTTATTATTATATGCAACATAAATGAGTATTAAAATTATCCTTAAAAAGGATGTGGGAGTAGCCTGGAAAGACAAAAGGACAGATTTTTTTCTCCTACCAGATACAAGTACACTCTCTGTGAATACATTGCACATGCTGATGGGGGACTGGGGCAGGGCAAATGTGGAAGATTCTGCACATTGTTGACAAAAAGCTGCCTAGAAGAGCAGCAGTGAGTCAAAGGTCTGGGCAACAACTCGCATGTAACTTTAGAGGCGGGGGAAATAAAGGTCTGTGATGGACACAAAAGGGTGAAAGAGTATCTTTAAAGCAGCCAAGTTTCCTAAAAGAAGTGAGGAAAGCAAGTAAGAGAGTATTTTCAGGATGCCTGAGGAGAAGGAATCTCCCCTGACACTGAACCTGTTACTTGGTCTCATGTTAACTGCTGTAGGTAGGAGTTCTCCAGGGAATGTTGCTCGAAAGGACAAGCAGGTACACCAGTGCCTGCTCTTCAGCATCGCTCCTACACGAGTCAGTCACTGGTGTGACATGTGCACAAAGCTGCCACACAAGGGAGGCACCAGCAGTGTGATGGGACTTCTCACATGCTCCTTGGCAGTCAGCACACACACTAGCCTCTCAAGCAGTCACGATGAAACCTCTGAAGGGGAACCAGGTAGGAGATAATCCTTTATATCATCCAGCTGAAGTATCTTTTAAAAATTTCAAGTCCGCTTCTGATTCCTACAGCGTTTCCAAATGGTCTTTTTTCTTCTAAAATTCAAGAAGCAAAGGATAAGAAGGAAGAGGCACGAGACTAGCAGCTCACATCTGGTCTGAAGGGCTGATCAACGTAGACAGAAATTCAGGAACCCCACCTCTGAAAGTCACTGTTTCTCTGTAAATAACAACATGTTCCTCAGCATCTTTCTGCGTGACAAAAAGGGCTGAAAACAAATCAAATGAGTTTTTTGAAGGAGAAAGTTATCTTTCTTAAATACATACGTGTGACAATCAATTTCATCTTCCCTTCATTCTGACTGTGTCGGCAAAGCGCGGCTGTCGGGGAGCTGAAGGTAAGGGTACTGAAACCATAGAGGGTCCTGAGAGAGCTTTTCTACAACATTTTCAAGTGCTCAGAGGAAACAGCAAGCAGAATTTGGAGAAGGTCCCAGTGCATAAAACAAAGGAGATGAAAGAGCAAGAGCTGAAACGATAATCTCTAGTGTCCTAAGAGAGAAGGGAAACACCAGGAAGATGAGCAGGACACCAAGGAAGAAGTGACCTTAATTTACCCCACATTTGCTTTCGCTTTCTCTGTGGTATCTTGCCAGGACACCAAGTAACACACCAAATACGCAGGAGACTACGTGGTCGGCATAAAGACACACCAAGCCTGCGAAGTCAGAGATTACCCCTCCGAAGAAACACTGGGAAGACTCTTGCATGAAACAGTCATGAAAGAAACATGTACCTAGGACAGTCCAAAGTGATCACCAAAAGTTTGCCCAAGTTCAAACAGCCAAAGACTTTGAAAATGAGTACTCAAACCACCGGATGTGTCAGAGATGAGGAGGGTGGTATGGAAGCCTTAAAATGTGCCTGACAAAAGATGGTAGAGGAGGAAAACATCTGGAAACTCCAAAATTATAAAAGCATCAAGGAAGGAGACCAAAGATGTTGGTGTCAAGGAATGGCTTGCAGACTAGAGTGGTGAAGACCTATTGTCCACTGCCATGACTGAACCACACTGGGGTGGGGAAAATGAGGGAGAAGAAAATCTAAGGAACCAACCACTAATGGGAAAAGGTGCTGAATACATTTAAAGTTAAAACTACGCAGCTGTGAGGCTGACCCAAGGAGATAAAAAGACGACAATAAGCATTGAAGATGGTGGAGAAAAGAAAGATCACAATTGGGTTATGCCTCAAAACAGTTAGAAGAAGTCTCTTCTACAGGAAGGAAAGGAGAAAGGCAACAAGTAAAGATTCAGATGCAGTACACTGACGATGGGATTTGAACCACAAGCTGTTGGAAAATAGAAGAACGCAGCTATGTTCTGTTTCATTATAATGATCAAACTTGGTAACTATGCACTGTGACCTTTTTTTTTAAACCTAAAATTAATAGATTTCTACTCTTAAGTGCCTGTTTCCCAGACAGAGCACATAAAGGTTTCTCTAAAATTTTACATTTTTAATCTTTCATTATCTTATAACATCACTTTATAATTTTTGCAGTGAGGCATCTGGATTTTTAAAGGATTTATCTTCCAGGAGTGAGTAACTCCTAAAGGAAAACACATATATGACGGGCATTCTAGTTCCCAGAGACAAACATTCCTGTACAGACTGCATCTATAAAAGAATTCCTGCAGGCAACGTTTCTCTTCACACATACTAAGCCTACTAGCTTTTCAACTCTGCAAATAAAACTCAGGTTATTTCAAAATAAGCCATGTCAAATCCACTGGCTGAAGAAAAATAAATTATTTGTTTCAAGATTTAAAAGTGAAAAACCTCAAAGTTTCCACAGAACAGAAGCACAGCTACCAATACCGAACAAGCTCCAACTCCTCCTGAGGGTGCCAATAACTAATATAAATAATATAAAATTATACGGCTGCTCTGAAACAGCTCAGCAGAGAATGGGATTGACAAGACCGAGCTCGGGCTTGACTTCCAAGTTCTAGCATGCACAGACAGAAGCAATGAAAAACACCACCAGACAAGCACTTGGAAACCATATTCTTCATAACATCTGAACCTAACGCACTGCTGAAGGAAACAGAAGGTGGTCAGTGGTCTCTGTGAGGTTGTTTGCTTGCACCAAATAGAAGTCTAGAGAGTTTGCCACATTAAGATTGTAGAGAGCAGTTTCCTGCCATCAGTATGCAAGCACTTCATAACGAGTTCAGTGGAGTGAGGTACAGAATTTAGGGCACATGGCAATAACTGTAATTCACAGAACTTAATGTTTGTCCCAAGTCATAAAAACCAAGCCAGTGAATCTGAAGAACAGTGTTCCTTACAGCACACGCAGCTCAACACATATCTCATGCAAACTGATCTGCTGACTGTAGACAGACTGGTCAAATTTGTGGCACTCAAAACCAATCAAATAAGCCCTCTAACACCCATTGGGACATTACACAGCTTAACATCACCTTTTCAATCAAGTTTTTCCACTATGCTGCTCTCAAGACTTGGACATACCTGAGACATCAGCATAAAGGGTCATTTCTGAGTCAGCGCTCCGACCAGAGTCACGGCAATAGGGACAGAGGTCAGTCAAATGACTCTAGGTGGGGAAACCATTAGCCTCAGCAGAACCATTTACATGGAAACATCCCTGTTTGGCTTTCTCGGGTGACAGATTTTCCCGTCCTCATTAAGGCAGCACGCCCATTCTCAAACGAGCTCCGCTTTTGGACGTACACAGTACAACCTTGCCTTTCCTTCCGGCTGGGAAGTTACACAGCCCGATTGTGGTCAGTGAGCTTCAGCACGCTGTTAGAGAAAACTCCGAAAACCTCTCATTTTGGGGATATGTTGTGTCTAGAATGCACCCTGTGTGAGTGGCCAATACTCTGTTTATAGAAATGTAGACCTTCAGCATCTATACAAGCCTCTAGCTTTTTTGCCACGTAGACCAATGCTGTAAAATTCTCAAGGTCATGGAAGCAAGCACAAATTTAGCAGAATATTATCACTGCACGGATACCAGACAAGTACAACTCAGATAAAGCTCCCATCCTGGCATAACCTGACCAAACAGGTCCATTCAGTGCAGCGACCTCAAAGGCAGACACCGCCAACGGAAGCACTAAGGCCTGTAAGGAGATTCCTGATGGTACCTCCTCAAAAAAACCCAAACAAACAACTTTGTATACCATGTCCATAGTTCTGTGCAGAAAAAAACTGAATCAAGACAAATCCCACACTTGCAAAGCTCTTACATCTTTCAGATTTCCTCCGTAAACAAACCAGTGAGTAATTTACTTGGCATGACAGGAGCTCAGCAGTGACCTGCATGAAGAAAATGTTGGACTTAGCCTCAGATTTTCAAGGAGTGTGCTCCTGACTGGCTGCTTACAGAAAGGTGGCAAAAAATAACCTTGTATCTTATATAAATTATCTGGTATTGCCAAATGATTCATAAAGCTTACATGGTACAAATGTCAGGCCAAACCACTAAATGAGAGCATAGGAAGGACAAAGCTGAAATTTTTCTTCTTGACAAGTAACCCAATACAAAACAGAAACAACATTTTTTTTCTGCTTTCTAGATATCCCAGGAT